TTGCCGAAAAATTGTAATTTCGTATCTAAACAATATTTACATTTTATTTTTATTTTAAAATACATACAAAAAATTGTTTTGTATTCGTCCTTAATAACACAGTTAATCATGTTTATATTGTAATTTAAAAATTAGCAAACTTTTTCAAGTTTAATTTTTTTTGGGATTTAAATGCCTATATAATAATTATTTAACCGTATAAAATATTTAACACGGAATTATCAAAGAACTACATTTAATTTAATGAATTTTGTTTAGTAACAACATTAAACATGGTAGTGTCATTCTCAGAAATAAACCTGTTTATACCTAAATGGTAAATATTTATTGGTAGCAAACACTAAATTATTATTTTTTTATAGAAGAGGGGGCAAACGAGCATGCGGCTCACCTGATGTTAAGTGACTACCGCCGCCCATGATCAACCGCAACACCAGGGGAATTGCAAGTGCGTTGCCGGCCCTTTAGAAAGGAGTAAGCTCTTTTCTTGAAGGTCCCCAGGTCGTATCGGTCCGGAAAAATCGCCGGTGGTAAACTATTCCACAGAGAGGTTGTACGCGGAAGAAAATTCCTTTTGAAACGTACAGTGGTGGACCGCCAAGCATTCAGATGGTGTGGATGGTATTGGGACGTTTGCCGCGTAGTGCGTTCACGAAATTTGGCGGCTGCGATTAATCCGAACAATTCCTCAGAGCACTCCCCATGGTATATGCGAAAGAAAATGCAAAAAGATGCAACATCTCTTCGCAGCGCCAGTGAATCGAGCCGATCGAGAAAGCACTCGGTCGTTGACGATTCGAGCCGCTCTGCGCTTGATGCGGTCAAGTGGAAGGAGCTGGTACTGTGGAGCCCCAGCCCAGAGATGGGAACAGTATTCCATGTGCGGCCGAACCTGCGGCTTGTAAAGTTGCAGGCGGTGTGCCGGCATGAAATACTGTCCCGCTCTATTGAGCACGCCAAGCTTTTTAGAGGTCAATTTGGCCTTCTCTTCCAAGTGACCACGAAACTGCACGTCACTCGATATGTCGACGCCGAGGATTCCGATACTGGCTGAGGCAACAAGGGGAGTGCCTTGAAACTGAGGAGATACGACAAAGGGGTTCTTTTTAGCGGTTAACGCGCAAACTTGTGTCTTCAGGGGGTTAAACTGGACTAGATTTAGTGCCCCCAATCCGAGACTCTGTTCAGCAAAGACTCGACTTCAGACACAAGTTTGTCCCGGTACTCTGAGACGCTTTCCCGAGAAATATTGGCACGGCCGGTGTAAAGAGCATCACCAGTGCTGTCATCTGCATAGCAATGAATGTTACGGGATTGCAACATATCATTGATATGCAGAAGAAACAGCGTTGGCGATAGCACGCAGCCTTGTGGAAGACCAGCATTAATAGGCTTGTAATCGGAGCATGCACCATCTACAACGACCTTGATGCTCCGATCGGCAAGAAAGCTGGTGATCCAATCGCACAATTTCTCGGGAAGCCCATAGGAAGGGAACTTCGAAAGAAGCGCTTTGTGCCAAACCCGATCGAAGGCCTTAGCTACGTCCAAACTAACGGCCAATGCCTCCCCTTTGGACTCTACTGCCTGTACCCATCTATGAGTTAGGTAGACCAGAAGATCACCAGCTGATCGACCACGGCGAAAACCGTATTGGCGATCACTAATCAGCTGGTGATCCTCAAGGTATCTCATGAGCTGGCAGTTTACAATGGACTCCATTGTTTTGAAGGAGGTGATGACGATAGGCCGGTAGTTGGACGGGTCTGAGCGGTCGCCTTTTTTAGGGATCGGGTGGACGAAAGCCGTCTTCCATGATTTTGGGACTACGCCTATGGAGTAGGAGTACCGGAAAAGACGCGTTAAGACCGGTGCCAACTCTGGAGCACACGTCCTCAGCACAATTGGGGGGATTCCGTCAGGCCCACTCGACTTGTGGATGTCCAGGGAGAGGAGTGCTTTGCGAACCGAGCGCTGTGTGAAATGCACTTCCGGCATGGAGCACTCACACCGCGGGATGATCGGCGGCGTACTCCCCCCGTCATCGAGAGTCGAGTTGAACGCGACGTTGAAAAAAGAGCCCAGCAGATCGGATTTCTCCTTTGCGGTATGGGCCAGTGAGTCGTCTTCCCTGTGCAGAGATGGAAGAGATGGCCGACAGAAATTCCCCTGGAAGCCTTGGCGAGAGACCAGAATGCACGGGTTCCAGAAGGAAGGCAACTAGTTTCTCGCCAATTCTGCCTATGTGCTCTGATTTTGCCTTGGTAATGACTCTTTTGAAGAACCTAGAGGCAGAATTATACTTCTTTTTTAGAGCGCTGGTGTTTACATCCCGGGACGTTGATGCGTCAGCCCAGGCTTGGTAGCACTCCTGCTTATAGCATGATGAGCAAGACAATGGTCCGAGGAGCCTAAAGGGGCGTCGACGGAAATCTGATATCCGTCCGGGTGAGAGATCAGCAGAAAGTCCAACAGGGAAGGTGCATGATCCTCCATATCTGGAATCCCCGTAAGCGAGGTAACCAGTTGTGTCAGACCATATGCCAAGGCAAAATCATGAACAGATCTCCCGCATGATCGGTTAAACGTGAACCAAGCCATTCGGCGTGATGGGCGTTAAAGTCGCCGAGGATCACGATTTCTGCGGAGGGGATCTGCTTTAGCAACGAATCTGTAGCCATTTGGACGTGGTCGAAGAGTCGGTCTGTTTCGGCATTACCGCTATGGGACCTATAGAGGCACCCGTAGACGCGCGGATGGTCGTCGCTGTCTACGCGTAGCCAAAGGATGGACAGGTCCGAACCTTCAAGACCGCCGAGGCGTCGAGAACAGATGTCCTCTCTGACGTAAACGCAAACTCCAGCCCGAGGCACAAAGGAGTGTTCCAGTTTGTACCCCGGGCAGGAGATACGAGACATCAGCCGGAGAGGACACCTGCGTCTCGGTCAGAAAGAGCAGACCCGGCCTCGCCGTCTCGAGATGGTAGTATACGTATTCAAATGTAATATTACTTTTAGCAAATGCTTTAATAAAATCATTTAAAACAAACCTTTTTAAAAATAAAATAAATATTTGCCATACAAAATTTTTGAAAAGTGGTCACTTAATTATCGCGCTACGCGGGAATAATCCTACTATTCTGTTTTTACTATGCAAGTGGGCACTGCAATGAATGCGATGGCAACAGTTCAAAGAACATCGTCACACTTAGTGATTTTGCTATGTTCCAGCCAACTGATTGATTTCACCACAATTGATTTTACGTCGATATCGTTAGACCATTACCCACCAAACCAGAAAGTCACGGATTCTTCGTCACCATGAGTGACTTATCTATGATACGACGTGAAGCACCCCATCACCGAAATATCTGCTCAATTTATCGCAAAAAATGAGATTTAGATCAGTCATTTTGACCGTCGTACACTAATAATATGAATATTGGATTACTCGTTTTGGCTGTCCTACACTGCTGACTAAGCTCACCACGCTCACCAGATGTCGCTAGGTGGAGCGAGATAGTCACAGTGTAATAATCATTGAAAAGTTGCGTTTTAAATGAGTTTTTCGCTAAGTTTATATAAATTATTTTTACACATATAAATATGCCTATGGGCTGATTTTACCTGTTAAAATACTGCACAGGGTTATTTTTCAAAGAGTAGCCATATTTTATATTTAAGTTCGAATATATAAATAACGATATACCGATATTACAGTTTTTGAAAATACGAGTAAATAAGGCTACATTCATTTGAAATTATCCCAAATTGAATGTGATTTATGGGCAACAACTACGCGTACGCACGCTCCTCTGTGTGAGATTCAATTACCAACGTTTTTGCCGACCGAGCGATCCTTACGAATGTGTGTGTGAGTAGTATATATTAGTATATAGTACTAGTATATAGAAGGCGTTACATATTTATGAATGACAATCAGTTCAAATTATGCATTAACCACATGTTCTTAATCTATACTTAATATAATAAAACGGAAGGGGTATTTTTTTGTTTGTTTAAATATGCTATACCCTGGAACTACTAGTCCGATTTGAAAAATCATTTTTGTATATTATAGTGAGATTAATGAGGAATAGTATAGACTATTAATCATTAGGCTACACCCCTCAGCTAGCCTTAAATATTGACGTTTGTTAAGCAAATCAGAAGAAAAAGCGCTCCCAAAATGATTTATCCGCATGCACTGGCATAATAGCGATACGAAAATACAATGTTCTACAAAAATATAGATCTTTAATCTATCTAAAGTCTACGATATCATATGGCTATTTCTTATACATAAGCCACAATAAGGTATTTTGTAACAAAAAATGATTTAAATTAAAAAGTGATTCATGGGCGTGATTATTAAGCATTGCATATTAATCCTTACAAATGGAAGTTACTTCATTATCAGACAATTTTATGAAGATAAACTTGGCTCTTTATATAGCATGTTATTTTCACGCATAGTTTAAGAGATAATGAAAAATTAAAATAATTCAACACTTGCTTCGGCGCGCGAACGACGCATAAGCCCTAGCCGCCCGATGATAACCGAGAGAAAGCAGCAGTGAACACTTCTATGAGCGATGTTGGTTCAATCATTTTAGCTAAAAAATTGGCAAAATTAATAGAATAGTTTTATATATCGGCATATGTATGTTATAGAGTAAAGTTAAATTTTATGCACTTGCAGTTTTTTTTTTCAGTTTTAAAGAAAACCGTACACTATACACGAAATGTGTGTAGGTACAAAAAGATACTTGATAAATTTGTTATAAACCTCCCTATACACACAAAAGCAAGATCACTTATGATTTCATTATCCCGAATCACGGTTTTTTCCAGCTTTAAAGAAAACACGATACAAGTACTCCATTAAATTAGATAATTTTTCCATGATTGCTATCTGAAATGCTTGAAATAGTTGTCATGTCATATCGCGTGTAGTATATTACATAATAACCCTGTAGTAATAATGAATTTTTTTCTTACCTGTTCTTTTAAAATTGGTGCAGCTTCAGGAAAATGTTCCAAGAAATAACCATACACATCTTCTGTAGTCCAGTTACTTATATCTGGTATATTTGGATCTATTGGAACTTCTTTTGATAATTTTGTTGGTGCTCTGTCCAATTCATGAGGTTTTAGGAATGGATCCAATGTGGATGATTCTGAATGATATTCAATATTAGAAGGAATAATGGCTGGAGAACCAACAATAGTTGGACGGGACTCAAGGCAGTTGTTGCACTCCCACTGATCCCAAGCTTTTAGCCGTTCTGGTATGCGTGGTGAATGACAAAGTGCATGATAAGCATCAGAACAAATATTACATACTGTTAAGATACCCTAAAAAGTATAAAATAATACCATTAATTTTGAAAATTTAAAGAAATAGATTAGAATTGGCATAAAATCTTCATCATCCATAAAAGGCAACAGCAGAAGTGTATTATTAACATAAAAATTTGCTTAATACTCATCACAATATACATAAATTGTTACACTAGTATATGGCTCCCCAAAATCAATCTCCGAAATTGGGATTCAGCGGTTTTGGATAAACTTCCTGTCATAAAGAAATTAATTAATTTGCAACCCTTTGGGTCCAAGAGAGCTCAAAGTTTTCACGGATAGCTCGGGTACCCACAACAGTCTTCCAGGCTGAATGCATGGGTATCATCCAAGCGGCCATAGCATTAGGAAGGCTAGGAACTAGGCTAGGAAGGTGAAACCTGTAATACCCCTTTGGCTACGTTCGTTCACTGGTACGTAGATACTTCAATAATTTACACATTCAGCTTAGGAAAAATTTTGTAGACTATAGACAAGCTAGGGAGGCCCTACCTGAAATAAACAATCGTCTAATCAAGGTTCTAATGAGACTGAACAAGCCACAGATCAGGATAGTAACAAGTGCTATCACAGGACGTGGCTCTTTTAACAAACATTTGTTCACCATAGTTGTTACAGACAGCCCCTTGTGCAGGGCATGCATGGGAGAGGAAGAAACGGCGGCTCACGTGTTGCTGACATGTCCAGAAGTCGCTTCATACAGGGCTAAACATCTCGGCACGCCGGGATCGCTCCCCCGAAGTTGCTTGCAACATCAAGGGACTGCTGAGCTTCTTCGGGGAGATATCATGCATGGAGAGATCACACGCAAAATACGCGCTTAGACGTGGAGTTGCGGAAAAAGTTCGTCGTAAACTAAACTAATTTGCAACCCTCCGCCAACCAGATACAATGATGTGTCTTACCTGGATTGAAGAGCACCTCCCGCCCTCCCTCAATTGCATGCACCAATCCCCTCACCACTAATCTCAGCACCACTCCTCCCATCACCACTACTCCCGGCGCCACTACTCCAGAAAAGATACACCATCGACGATAACACGACACGTATTTCGCCTCTACAGGAGGCATCCTCAGTTGATGTAGACTCTACGGCGGCTGACTGCTAAGAACTTACTTACATTCTGTCAAGTGTCATATTCCTCTACAAGATGCACGAGTGTACAAGCATGATTGTGAATGTGGTCTCTCATACATAGGGCAAACAAAAAGACCAATTAAAACCCACATAAAAGAATACATAGCTGACATGAAGCATCAACGTCTGCTAAGCGGTCAGCCGCCGTCAATTGAGGGAAGGCGGGAGGTGCTCTTCAATCCAGGTAAGACATATCATTGTATATGGTTGGCGGAGGGTTGCAAATTAATTAATTTCTTTATTATAATGGATTTCCGCAAAGTAACGCCTGATTCTATCAAACTTCCTGTCATCAATCGATCACCAGAGCTAAGTCTATCGATTATAGGGTGAATTTTGTGCAGGTGTGATATGTATTTGGAGAAAAAGTTTCTCCATAATCTCTTATATTATTTAAATTATTAATACAAATTTCATACTTACTGCATCATTTGTTTCATAGCAAACAACACAAGTTTTACAATGTGGACATTGCCATGTATTATCAGGCCGTGGTTTCAGAATGCCAGAACCTGATTGGAGACAACTTAAGTGAGCTTTGTTGTTACAATCCCGACATTCCACTAGTCTATCATTAGAGCCTCTAGGCTTTAGAATCAGACAAACAGAACAAACACCTCCAGAAGTCTCATGAGAGATTGGCTCTTCTGATTCTATCTCTTCTCCACTTCCATCTAGTGACAATTGGCTTTCAGATAGAGGTGTGCCTTCCTTTTCATTCTTATGATGACTAGCTATCATTAATCGCTTCTTTATTGTACTTTTATTCAGTGAACCTACAGGCCTTCCCCTTTTACGTTTACTAGGCACATTATTGTCAGAAGGGTCAAATACTTTTTTTGCCATTTTTCTTCTTTCACCAACTCTTACTCCAGAATTTTGATTATTGATTATTTGACTATTGCTAGATGTGGTGCCATGATGCTTTTTTGGCCTGCCTCTCATTCGCTGTGGAGATGATCTACATGATGAATTAGCTGACGATGTCATCTGAAATATAAAAAATAATAACTATTTACAGGATTTTACACTGTTTTTTTTGTTAAAAATGAATAGTAAATTGTATGTTAGGATTGACATATGAGATTTTTTTTAAAATTCTAGGCCTAAACCTTTAATTAATGTATAGTTATTAAGAGCTCAGTACTTTTCTATATTATATTATTGTTATATTATTGTTTCCTGTTCCTGTCTGCCTTCTTACAACACAATTACTTATGGACTATTATAATACGTCTATATAAACTATTATAATATGTGAAAATTAAAGCCAATTATTCTATATTGCTAACATAAAGATTTCTATCCTGAATAATTATTTAACTATAGCTATCTGCAATGGAATGATGACACCCAAAATACATGCTGAATGCACTGTAATACAACACGATTACTTTTAGAATATCACACCATAATCAATTTTAATATATTTACAACATACCTTTGTATTAGAGTCATTGTATTCAAACTTGAAACTATCAGAACTGTCACCATCAGGATCAGCTGGTCCTAAAGCTAAGGTTCCATTTGGTAACTTTACAAGACTTCCTGATGATAATTCTTTATTAACTATAGTTTCAAGCTGTTTTCTTGTATATCTGGATTCTTGAGAAGCTGCTACTCGGATTAGGTCATCAAAAGCAATGCCATTTTCTAAATAACTTTGATCTTGGTAAATTAAAGTTGCAATTGCAGATGTTATAATTCTTCTTTCACTAGTAGCAATTGCTGATGTCATTGCTACATATCAGAAAAGAAATTATAAATATAACAATCATAAATAAAGTAAAAGTTAATATGTACAACAAAAGCTCTATATAACTTACTTTTACTTATATTACGAGTTGATTTCTTACGCCACTTCGCAGCGTTCCTGTAGCTTACATTATCTTTATAATCAACTTTGAAAATACTTCTTTCTTTAAGACAACGTTTCAGGTCTGCTTTGGTATCTTTAGGAGCTACTTTATAACACTTCAGCATAAATTTGCAAATTCTATTTATGTCTGGGCGAGATTTTCGCGAACGCAAATGATCTATCGCTGCTAAAATTTGATTTTTATACTTTATCTCTGACATTTCTGAAATTCAATAATACTTTGTGACAAAAATGTTTACTAAACAATAATTCTCTGTAGGAAAATACAAATTTGGTTCACCTGAACAAAATCATGCCGCTGAATTGTATCTTTCAATATAATACACCAAAACTCACTTACGTTTGCGTAATATATTCAAAATTAAATGGTTTTTACTGAATTTTTTTATAAATGAAAATGATATTTGATTTGATCTCATAAACGACGAGAGTCTCTAGTATATAGTCAGTAATCATTATTCAGTAATCCATAGAGGAAGCTACAGTAATAATAATCTATGGACGAGAGTCAACACCAGTCAGTTGTTCCTGACAAATTTGGAGTTGCCGTATTCTAACTCTAAAATTGCCGGATTTTTAGGGAAAACTAAGAAAACTGCCGTATTGTAAAAAAAATATTTATTTAGGTTAAAATTAAAAAAAAAACACGTGAAATACATGTTGTTTACATAATACATAAGTATGTACTATAGTTGTACCAATTTTACTCTTCACCATATAGGTTTTGAATAGTTTCCAGTACTTCTGATTCTGTCTCATTTAGGTCGTACTGTTTTTTATTTTGCAAATCATTTCGTTTGGCACCTGAAATTTTGTACAATTACCGTGATTACGAATTGCTTGCCTGGCTAGAAGAGTTCCATTAATAGTTGAAGTTATTAATTTATTTCGAAGTCTCGTTTTCATATTATTTACTTCACTGAAGATACGTTCGCAGTCTGCGTTCGAGTGTGGCAGACATAAAACATTTAAAGCAAAAGATGCTAATGTTTTTAATTTTGTTTCGTTACGGATTTTAATCCAAAACTCATCGGTTTTCTGTGAGGTAATTTCATATAATGTTAATTTATTTACCACTGGTAGCATTCTCCATTCATCATCAATTTTTTGGAAATCGTCGACATTATTGACGATTCGTGGCAACTTTTGCATAAGCGGTAAAATGGATGGACAAACATTTCTTGTTTGATTACTAGCTGCTTCTTCAGGTGATAAATATTTTAAAAGTTGAAGTAAATCGTCAGAGAAGTCATACCTTTTTTTAATTTCTTTACAGCCTGTGATGAGGAAATCTCTGCAGCGAGAGTAAAACTCTTTTAATTCTTCTTTTTTTGCTGATATATCTGGTTTTTGTGTCTCTAACATTATTTTTACCCCCAAATACAAATGTGGGAGGAAATATCGCGTATCTTCTGGGACGATTGAGCTGATGTCATTTTGTAGAACATAATCCCTTTGCATGTAACACATTAATATTTCTTTGTACGTTACTCTTATGTGTTCATCCAGTTCCACCAATTTTGAGTCTGCGCTTTTAAAGTACTCGTTGAGTTTAATAAATTTTGGTAATATCCATTACAGAAATAATAAGTAAAGCTTAATAAAATCGTCATGCAGCTCACGGTAAATTAATTCTGCAGCTACAGTTTTTTCTTCGAGCCATTTCTGCGTAAAAAACAATTTAAGGCTGTTCCACTGTTCAAGCAACCTGTTCACAACCGATACCGATAGCAGGGAAAGCCACCGAGTTTGCGATGGATGTAAAATCTTGTGAATTTTTGCATTAGTGAAAACTTGAAATTCCAAATATTGGGCTTGGCGTTTTGAACTCACTTTAAAAAAAACCGTAAATGTTTCGCGCTAAATCTTCGCATCGTCTTGGTAATTGCTTGCATGCCTCACTGGCACACAAATGCATAGAATGGCATATACATTTAAAAATAAATATACCCGGCAGATTTTCTAGCAAGCGGCTGGCTACTGAATTTTGTGATCCCATCATAACGTTGCAGCCGTCTGACGCGAATCCTATTAAATTTTCTAACGGGATCCCTTTATCAGTAAATTTTTTATAATGAGCTCATACATGGCTTCTGCTGTGGCTCCCTCCGCTGCCATCGTAAAATCACCTGTCTCAAATAAAGGTGCCAGTTCCCACAGTGAGGACATGACCTTTTTTTTGCTGCTCATCAAAATACCGGATGATAATGCACATTGTTTTTGTGGCCGAAATATCAGTTGATTCATCTACCAGTACACTGAATTTATTGTTTTTTATAATGTTGTCCAAATAATCTTTTTGGAAATCACCAATAACATTTTTTACCATAGATGTGCATTTTTTTCGTTTTATGGCAATCTCATAAGCAATTCTGGAATCTGGAAAACAAGATTTTAGCAACTCTGATAAATGATCCATAGCCATAAATGATATGTTATGTTCTGCAACGAATGCACTAAGTTTTATTTCGGCTTCCATTACTTTTCGATTGTGATCGGTTTGTCGATTCTGAAAATAAGTACTAACGTCTCTTGTAGAAAAACTCGCTGATGCTTTTCTTACGTGTTGGGCGTTTAAAACATGACGTTTTAAAGTTGAAATTTCGCAAGAAAGTTTGACGTCGCACACTGTACATTTTGCCCTATAGGGGTCATCATTTACAGGCAGAATCCAATCCTTAAACGTTTCATCACTTTCCCACTGCTTTCTGTACTTCTGTTTTTTGTGTTTACTTTTACCTTTTTTTCGGAGTAGATGGCCCCTCGTTATTGTCATACTCATTATCACTCATTTTTAATTAAAAATTAAAAAAAAATATTCGTAAAATAGCTTTCACTGATAGATCGTACATAAAGCAAAACAAAGCACTAAATGACAGAACTACAATAGCTACCGAGTTGAATACTGTTAACGTTTGACGTTTCTGATAGTGGCGCTTCTACTTTATCTGTGGTTAAATTACTCTGTGGTTTATGGTTCACAAGTTGGTGCATTCCATTATAGGTACGAATTTTTTTTTTGTTTACTTTTGACAATTACCGTATATTTTAATACGGTAATCAAATAGCTGCCGTATACCGTATTTTTGTTGCCTGAGATACCCGAATGCCGTATATTACGGCAATTGCCGTATCAAGAACAACGCTGACACCAGTCAACACTCTTATAAACTGAAACAACTAGTACTGGGCGTTTTATTCAGAAACACTTTTAAAAAACAGTTTGTCAAAGAAAAACGAACGAACAGTTTCTCGAAGATCCAACATTAGATTTAAAAACGAACGAAATGAATACACATAGATTACTGACTATATACTAGAGAATACAGTTCTACATTTCATTCTCGAAACTGTCTCAATCGCAAAACGGCAAAACGTTTATAAACTACATGCTCGTTTGGTAGGTTCATAGGTTGGATCTAAGTTAAAACTCTATTACTATTGCTTTATGAACTATTGTCGT